TGCCTCATTATTTCTGATTTAGCAGTAGTCTGGAATATTAAATGAAGCATATAGAGTTGAATTCAGTTTCTTGGACAGGACATAAGCATAACACAGCTGAAACTGGATAAAAAAAAGTCTGGAGACCCTCTCTCCTTACTTAGCTCTGCTCTGCTCAACTGGCCAGCACTAGAGTGAACATAAGCAGGAACTTGGGTGTGTGCATAAGTAAACATTTTGTCACTGTTATGTACCTTTCACATGGCTGAAACTAACTGTGAGAAGTCTTTCAGCATTCATCACACAACAGTTTAAGATCTTAGGAGGCTAAGCAGAATACACACTCTAAAAAGAGAAAGATTAGAAAATGCAAACATTTCAACATAAAAAAATAACCAAGTAGTGAGAGCAGGTGACTTCTTAATAAAGGACTTTTACAGACACAAGAGTTATATTAAAGATTCTTTTAGGGAGGTAGCATATGCAAAAATACTTCCAATAATACTTCAAGAAATGGAAGACATTACCTTGTGCTTAGATCTTACAAGATCCAATAGGCTTGTTCTTAGAGGCTGGACAGATTTCTGCACTCTGGCAGGATTAAAGACTCCCGTTTATTTTATAGTTAACTTAGATTTTAAAAAAACCCCAAAACACACACAATCAAAACCAACCAACCAAAAAAAAACCCAATCAAATTCAAGTTCTATTATTAGAGGCATGAACTATGATCATGGATGTATGATCAAGCAAAACAAAAAACCCATCCTTCTCTAAGACACTACAGACACAAATTTGTTAGTTTCGATAGCTCTTAGTGACACCTTGCTATCAGAACTTGCATAAAGACAGAAATAATATACTCATTTAGACAAATGTACTAATATTGGGCTTTTTTATTTATATGTATTTAGTCCATATTAGTACTTAAAACTTCACTCTGAATATTTAAGCTTACAGTAGCAGCAAGACTGACACAGGCCTAAGACAGCAACAGGCATTCCAGGCAAAAAGGCCTTTCCCAAAGGCAGGGAGGTTATAGAACTCTACAGGGGCTATACTGGTTTATGACAACTAACATGTAAACCTGTCTCTGAAACGTTTCACAAAGAACATCATCAATTGCCTGGGGACCCTTGAAAACCTGTGATCATAAACTGCTGCAGGCAGTTTGTAATTCCCAGATGGGGGGTTAGAAAAAATACCTTAAATATAGGGAGCTTCCTGGGGTTTATTGCTCACTTCCGTTGATTCCTTTTGTGGTATCAATCTCACCATCAAAGTAACCTTACTGTAACTGAAGATACAGTTAATCATTATTTGTACTTTAAACTTCCTTCCCAGTTTCAGCCATGATATGCTTACATCTTATCTGAAAAACTGAATCCAACTCTCTTAATTAATTTAAGATTTCAGATTCCTTCTAAATCAAAAATAATCCAGGGGGAATTTATTTTAAATTTAGCCATTCTTAAAATTAGCCATATTCCTAAATGCTCTGTACCAGTTCAGCTTAAATCAACCAAATTAAGATGATGCAACTTTTGAAAACATTCAGTGCTGTGCCCAAGAGGCTCAGCATTTCCCCGAGGAAGAACAGGTGAACAACCCTAATCCTAATTTGCATCAGTAACCACAGACACAACAACAACACTGCAGAGTTTAGTGCAAAGCTTACTGCATGCCACAGGATCCTAGTGAGATTCAGCCTGAGGAAATCACTATGAAGAAAAAGGAACAAAAGACTACAGAACAGAGAAGAAAGAGATGAACTCTAAAAGCCAGGAGAAAAGCTAGGAACAGCAAGACATTGCAATGTGTGACTGTCAAGATCTGACTTCAGAACCCTCACAGATCTAATATCAGCAACTTCATTTTTGTATACAAATTTTATCAATAATAAGTGAAATGTTCTTAAAATTTATACATGGCAGTTGAAAGTTAACCTCTGTCAATTGGGGAGAGTAAGTGACATCTGATTTTTTTGTTCAGGTACCTACAAATAAACAGGACATTCTGCCATTCTGGAGTTACATATTGGAGAAACTATTTTTTTATGAAAAACATAAGTAATATATGCTTTTTTGCTATAAAATTCTCTTGTCAGAATGAAGGCAGTGAAGGTCTCCTGATTAACAATGCTCATTATTTTCTCTGATGATCTAAACCTAAACACTGTTTCATTAAGAACCATTCTATTTGCAATGATCACCTCAACAGCCCCAGACACTGACAAACTGTTTCTTCTATACAACAGACTCGACTCTAACATTTTTAAATGCCATCAGATTGCAAGCAGGATCCACCTGACAGACAGTAAGCAGAAAGTTTTACTCAGCAACCACAAGCATGATCTCAAAGCACAGTAGTACCCTTATTTTACAGATACTGCATGTATGTTAGCTAGAGGGTAAGTACCATGTTTCCCTAAAGCTGAGTTACTTTTACTTCATATTTTAGTCTTATTAAAATTCCTAGCAACAGCCACAGACTTCCAAAACCAGTTATATTGGTAAGAAGTACTTCGTTCTCTTTATCACCCATATCCCCACAAGATCTGTTCTGGGGAAGAGAAACAGTGGTGGCTGTTAGTGTGAACTTTAGCAAGCACCCTCACACAGGAGATGCTTGTGGTTACCAATGTCCTGGAGCCTCACTAGAACAGCTGGCTTTCAGGAGAGTTAAGAAATGTCCAGAATAGACTTTCTGTTAGAAACATAACACAGAGCTCTCTGTGTTACATAAAACTTTCCCATTAGCAGCTCTTAAGGTCTTCAGCATCTGCTGGGACAGTGGTGCCTGGATGCCTGGCATTCTTAGTGTGCACAGCATCTTTGGGGACAGTGGTGTCCATGGTACAAACAATTCTCCCAGCAGGGAGAGATCTCTGAAGACAGTGGACCTAGTGTTACATTAATCTTCGCAGCATCTGTGCAGACCAGTGCAATACCACAGCCATACTAAATAATATGTCACAGCATCTGTATTGTCCACAAACAGCATCAAAAACTAGTGTAGGGCCAACAGCCCACCAAAATTAGGGAAAAAAAAAATCCAAACAGAAAAGACATGCCATTTTATTACAAATACCTCTATCTTCAAAGACCACTTCTGTTCCAGGAGATTTAAGAGTAATGAGCCATTTCTTCAAAAACCTTCTTCTACATTTTCTGCTCCTTTAAAAAGGTTACTTATTTTTTAAATCCATCACTTGTTTCAATATTTATTTTGTTAATCCTTAAAAATCAATCCACTACTTTTCAGTCTTCATACCATTAACATGCTATACTCATACACTGTAAATAAATAACTCCAGGCTTTAGAATTAAAAATACCTAAGATTAAGTCTCTTATTCAGCTCTTCCAGAGACACGGAAGTATGTGTGTGGGCTGAGTTTTTTGCATTGATAAGGAAATCTTCAGTTTTTCACTATACAGTATCCCTGATATAACACTTCTGATGTCTACTTGAAACATTCAGTTCTGAATTAATTTCTGTCTTACAGTAGTACAACTACAGCACACTTTTACAATGCAGAAAAGGAGATGCTTATCAACATGCCATCCATGGCTCAATATTTAAAATGCAGGAGTAAAAGCATTCTATATTGAGATTACCAACTGGTGACTTAAAAAAAATAATCTAAGTAAAAGCATTCTAGATTGAGATTACCAACTGGTGACTTAAAAATAATCTATCTTTGCTCTCTTCAAGTTGTCATTTCTCCATTGTGTAAGTTCACTTCAAGGACAGCACAGAAATCTACTTCATTAGGGGCCTTTATCACCTTACTATTGTTGTCCCCCTAGATTTTCACCTAAAATTTCCCCGATCACCACTTGATTTGTCCAGTGCTCTCTAAGACTAACAAATGATCCAGGGTACACTGGAATATTTTTGTGAAGGACAGAGACAAGCATATGTTTTTCAGTAGAATGTGATAATCTCTGTCTGATTTTGAACTAGCAACCTAAAAGGAAAGAAATATGGAAGCAAGCACATTGATCTTTCTAGTAAATTAAGCTCTAGATTATTTAAGTTAGGGCAAAATAAGGAATAACAGTTATTAGTTTCACAGCGAGAAAATATTTAGGCTACAGAGCCTCAAAAAACCTGCCTTGTCAAATAATAATACATCTAAGTAATTGCATTAAATATAATTTAAAAAAGCAAATTGATTTTGGACAAAGCATTTAATAAATGTGGTTTAAAGTGAAGCCTGCCAAAACTCCTGTAAGGCCTGGTGTCTCAGATGAAGAACCATGCACCTGCTCAGTTTATGCTACTGCTTCTACGGAACCATTCACTTGTATAATTAACTGTGCATAAATTAAAAGCTGTCAAGTGGTTTGAGGACAGATGTTTGATTTCCTACGTGTTCAAATGAAACAAAATAAAATGTTTAGAAATGGACTAAACTGAACAAAAGATATTCTACATTGTATCTTAGTTTTATTACTTTGCCAGAAGACTATGGATCAACTACTTTTCACAAGAATTTAAAGATAAACTTACGCCAGAAACCACACAACATTAAAAGAAATGCAACCTGCCACTAAGTCAAAAGTTTAGTTTAGCAGCAGTCCAGGAAGTTTAAGAGTGGCTTGAACAGAGCAGACATACAATAAGGAAAAAAAACCCCAAACCTACAACAAAAGACCTTTACAACAACCTTATAATAATACTTTACCTTCCTGAGCTGAAATCCCCCGTTTTGAAGTTCCCTCCTGAGCAGCCAGGTATGTGGTACTGCTCTAAGAGGTATGTACACAACTGCCCACACCAAAACCATAGAATTTTACTTTCAAACTAGGTAAGTTCCACGTTGGCAAGAGAAATCAAAACAGCAGGTGCCCTCCCAAGCTAGAGGGGCCGCTAGAAACGGGAGCCCACAAGCGTGGGACTGCTCCTCCCAGAGTCTATCCGGCTGACAGCTGCAGGTCTCCTGTGAAAGAGGGTCTCCAAGCCGGCACCTGTGGTACGCCACGCTCTCAAGCCACCTATGCCGCTCCCAACTTACCTACTCAGCCGTATATAGAAAATCTTGCACTGCTGGCAGATCGTCCTCCAAAGGCGGCTGGAGTCGTTTTTGGAGCCTCAGGGCTCCTGGGTTTGGGCTCTGCAGTTCCTTACGGGCAGACACTCCCACCAGTGAGGCAGCAGCACGCAGAAGCAGCTAGAAAGTTTGCCACAATCTCTACCTTCCCCTGCAATTTGCTCCTCTCCCAGCCTCAGCCTCTTCTCGCTCCTGGCGAAAGGGACCGGCTCTAAGGGCGGCGGCGGGGGCGACACTTCTCGCGGAGGTTTCCTGCCTCAGCAGTGCCGCAGCTGGAAGGGCTCTCCCGCTGGAGGGCGGCTCCGGGCCGGGGGGCGCCGGGGGCAGCGCTCGTTCGGGGCTGCGGCCGCCGCCGCGTTTGCCGCGAGCCTCATGCTCGCCGCGGTGCTCCCTGACATCATTCATTCTGCTACGCGCACGCCCGCCCACTCCATTTCCAAGCAGTGACTCACCCGGCGCTGCCGCGGCCGCCGCTGTCCGGGGCCGGCCCGCCCGGCCCTCCCGGAGCCCCCGCCCGCCGCGCAAGGTGCCGGCCCCGCCCGCCCGCCCGCGCGGCCCCCCCGACGCGCGCCTCTGCGCGCGCGCGCCACCCCCTCCCGGCGGGGCCGCGCGCCCGCACCGCCCCGGCGCGCGCCTCGGCCGGGCCCGCGGCAGCCCCGGGCGGGCCCATCCCGGCCCGAACCCCGGCCCCGCGCGCCCGCTCCGCGCGGCTGCCCCGGGAGCCGCTGCCGCCGGGCAAGGGCCGAGTCAGCCCGCGAAAGAGGGCGCCGACACCTGCCCCGCCCGCCCTGAAACGCCGGCTACGGGAAGGGCACTGCCTGCCCCCGCAGCCAGCGCGGGCACAGGTGCCGGGGCCGCCCCGCAGCCAGGCCACAGGCGAGCGCCGCCGCCCTCCGCAGCCACGGGCTTCCCGGTTCTGCCGGGGGATTTGATTTCCCCAAACCTGTTCACGTGACAGATGACTGGCACTGAAACCCCCTGCTTGTCAAGTGTTTCACCCCCGCCTCTGGACTCGGCTTTCCTTGGGGTTTTGTTTGGCTTTTTTTGCCTTTTTTTTTTTTTTTTTTTTTTTTTTGCGGTTTTGTTTTCCAAAGAGTTCCCCCATCACTACGTAGCAGCCAGATTTTGTTGGGAGTTTTCCAGTGTAAGAAGCATGTGATTGGCGGGGGAGGAAGGGAGGGGAAGACGGTGTCAACTCATCCTCACCGAAACTCGCTGCGGCCGATACACACCTGTCCTGCCCCAGCCACCCGGCTGCGCGCCGAGCGGGCACATGACAGAGCGCAGCACACACCCGGCACACAAGCCCGGGTTCGAGGAAGGCACCTGACCCTCTGTTCGTCACACCCCTGGAAAGCCCCCTTCACCCAGCTATTGGCTATTCTGCTTGGGTTGCTCACACTTTGTTTTTTAACACAAAAGCTTGGGGGAAGGGAAGAGAGAATCTGCTTTATTCCAGCACAGAGTGGAAAAATTTTCCGCACTCTCAGATTTCTGTGGGACAGGGAAACTGCCCTGGTCCAACAGTGACAGCCAGGGCACTGCTACAGAGTGCCAGGATTTCCAACTTTTATCTCCTGCAGCCTTAATGCAAACAGTCTTATACCAGATAAACAATTCAGCAAGGCTACTGCTGTTCCTGTTGCTAGGTGAATACACATACACACCTGTAGTGCTGAACCAAAGAAGTCTGCTGGAACCTCACAGCTCTCTGTACTGCCACTCTCTTCTCACACCCCCCCCTCCCCCACCAATTCTCCTAAGTAGGTAATGCTTCCTTTAAAATAAAATCTAAAGGAAAAAACAGAAGGTACCATGGCCAGGGAATTTGTTTTTAACTGATTACAGAGATATCTACATACGCCTTATTGCAGACACAATCACATGCGTGCCTTTGCAGAATCATATCTTACTTCAAGCTGTTATACAGAGGATAATAACAGACAGAGCAACAGATCAAGAGTAAAAACAGCAACACAAGTGAAAAAAAAACCCCAGCTATCTACAGGCAAAGCAAAGAGGCCTCCTCTAGTTTTCCATAATTAAAAAGAATCACTGAAGAAAGGTTAAAAGCAAAGACCAGAAATTTTACCAGAATTTTTCCAAATTATGTAGAGAGATCAGTAAGCTGAAACACCAGCATTACTCTATAATAATATTCTCTGAAGCACTGCATTTGAGTAAGTAAAAAGTAGCAGTACATTTTCTTACTCTGTTCAAGGCTACACTTCACACCCAACCCCACAAACCCATCCATGCAAATGAGAGGTTGAAGTGTAGAGCTCAGGGGAGGACCTGTGAGGAGCAGCTTTCAGGAGAGGGTCTTGAACTAATCTGGTAAAAACTGTTTGCAAGTTCTGCATAACAACAAACCTTCAAAAACAAGCAGCAAATTTGTGAAGTCACAAAACTTGCCAGAGGAAATAGCAGCACATCTCTTGACCTTTACTTTAAACTAAATTGAATTCAGAAGATTGTTTTTAGACAGGAATTAAGTGAGAGATAACAAGACTTACAGAATGAAAACTCATTTTGAGGAAAAAGAAACCTTGCACACACAGACAGAATTCCATGGAGAGACTCACATACAAGTCACATTCCCCTTCACCTCCCAGGGAGGCAGATGAGAGGGAGAGAATACAGAAACAGAGCTTTGAGGGGGAAAATTACTGTTCCATTCACTTGGAACAAACCCAGCATCTTTTTCATTACTGTTTACTTTTTCCCCCTTTCATGAGATCAGCAGGGATATTATTGGAAACAGTAATTCTAGAAAAGAACACAGCCAGCTTGTGCATTAAAATTCTGACTATTTCCAAAGAGACACTTGGGCAGTTTTCAGACGTAGCTACCACCAGAATCCTGCTTAGACCTGCCATGGGAGAACTGAAGCTGCAAGATTGGGTTTATGGTGGGGGGAACCAAGAACCATACAGAAATTTCTAGTTCAAGCTGACTTTACAGTTATTAGACAGAATAAACAGTATTACTACAAAAAAAAAAAAAAGCTGCTTTTTTTTTTGTGTGTGTGTAGCCAAGCCATAGCAGAACTCTGTGCAGAAACTGATAGGCAAAAACTATGTACCTGTGCTCCGCCTAAGTAGTTTCAGAACTAATTAACTGTACAAGTACATGTGTTCTTAGGTGTTCACATACATTTGCAGCCTTTATTGCAGGTGTGTTAAAGGCAGATGAAAACATACATATTTAATATTGAAGTATGCCATACACTGCCATAATTATAGTCACTAACAATCCTTCCTTGCCTTTCCTTCAAGTAGCATATAAATCAGGGTAATCCTGCCAACTACTTCTAGTCAGGTCTAACATTATATTCTGTACCCTGGTTCTCATGGCAGCCCTATTATATCTGTGAAGGTGCTAGTTCATACTTCTACCTTAAAACAGATAAAGGAACTCCAGAATGATTTATTGTTCCCACTCCATTAAGAAAGAGTAAAACACACAAAAGCCCAATGTAAGTGGATTATACCATGAAGAGATTCTTCATCAGTATACACTTCCTAAATCCTTAAACACCCCCTAATAAAAATAAGTTCCAGAGTTTTTGAATTAGATGCATTTCAGCAATGACATGAACTCTAGGTCTCCAGATTATTATTTTTAATCCATTCACTGACTCTTTTTCATCTTCAAGGGCTTTAGAAGAAGAAGAAAGCTTACCTTGTAAATTCACATTAATGTCACTCTTTTTTGGCAACTGAACAAGCGGATGAAAAGATAAGCCACAATAGAAATCACAAGACAAGTTTTTCCATCATTCCTTCATAAGCCCCAGTTCCAAAGTACACAGTACTGCCCTACTACTGGAGAGGCTGGAGCCTTAAGAAACATGCTTATAGATCACCACAGCTGGATCAAGCACAACTTCAGCTGCTTAGATAGCAAGCCTACCTTAACAGGTCAACCCCCCAAAACAATTTAAAGAAAAAGCAGAGTACTAGTTACTATGAAGCACTAAGCTGCCAAGCCAAGCGCTGCCACACTAAGCACACAAACGTCGCTCCGGCGCTACCACCTCGCACGAAGCACCCGCGAGCAAAGGGGCCCCCGAGTGGCTCGCTGCGCTCACAGGAGCCCCGCACCCCACGAGGGACCCCGGGGACAGCGCTCCCGCCGGCTGCCCGGCCTCACCTGCGGCCTCCCGCGCTGGCCCGCGCCGCCCCAGCCCGGCCCTGCTGCCCGAGTGCCGAGGCACGGCCGCCGCCCGCCCTTCCCCAGCTTTCAAAGGAGGCGGGAAGCGGCGCCAGGCCAATGGCAGCGGGAGCCCCCGCCCGCAGGTGCCGCCCGGGCGCGGGAGGGAGCGGCCGCCGCCGCCGGGTCTGCTGACAGCGGGAACAGCAGATGCTCCCTGCAGCCGCTTTCTTTCGACTTCACGAGACCTACAAATCCGTGATTATTGTCTCCCGTTTGCCTAACCTTGGTGCTTTACACAGTTTACATTCCTCAAAAATTGCTGTATTAGCTGTTTTCATAACCAACAGCTAGGCAGAGATATTATGTTTTAAAAACTATTTTTTCAAGAGCTTATGTGTTACTGAGAACATCCCTGGATAGTTTCAGGGAAATAAAAAATGAAGCTTTGTGGAATTATACTCCCTGCTAAAGCTCATGAGGAAAAAACATACAAACAAATTTAGACTACAGATTTTTTTAACAAAGCAGTAAGTTAAAACAAGCTTTTTACTTTTCTGTCACTATTTCACTTTCATAAGCAGAAAAAGCTGTACCTCAAATTTATCCTATTTTTTTTTCCTTTGGATATATTGTGGGATCATAGAATCATAAAATCATAGAATGGTTTTGGGTTGGAAGGGGACCTTGAATATCAATGGTTTTGGGTTGGAAGGGGACCTTGAATATCCAGGTCCAACACCCCTGCTGTGGGCAGAGCCACCTTTCACTAGACCAGATTACTCAAAGCCCCGTGTCCCTGGGGCATCCACAACTTCCCTGGTCAACTGTTCCAGTACTTTACCACCCCCACAG